AGATCCCCCTGCACTTTTACTTTGGGACTACGGGACGGTATCCCGGGAGCTCCCTTGTATGTTTACTTTGGGACTACGGAATTGCACTCCGGGAGATCCCCCTGCACATTTATGAGTTGGACTACGGGACTGCACCCGGGAGATCCACTGGAGATGATATTTATATTTGGGGACTACAGGACGGTATCCTGAGAGATCCCCAGTTGTTATCTTGGAGTGAGTTGTGTTCTTTTACTGTATTTTTTTACTTTCCTTGTAATAGTTGTTGATGTCCTTCATATCTTGTGTTATTTAATTACACTGTTATTTCACATTGTTAAACCTTATATCTTATTTAACCTCAGTAGGGCCCTGACCTGCCTCGTCACTACCCAACCGAGGTTAGGCTTGGCACTTACTGAGTACCGTTGTGGTGTACTCATGCCCTTTCTGCGCATGTTTTTCATGTGCAAACCCAGGTACTTCTGCACAGGCTTACCATCCTTGAGGCAGGGAGAGCTTTTGGAGACTTCGAGGTATATCTGCCGCGTCCGCAGACCGAAGAGTCTCCATCCTTATTCTATCTTGTAGTATTAGCCCTTCTATCATACTGTTGATGTAGACATTCCGGAGTTACAGCGTTTTTACTATATTTCTCTCAGCTTGTGTTCCCGTGAGTTTCCGGGTTTTGGGATAGTGATGTAGAAGTTTGAGATATTGTGTTGTAGTTGCCGAGCGGCATTCTATATACCGTTCCTTTAGTTATTTTGGTTTTTGATTTATACTTCCGCAAGTTTCGATTCTTTTTTCCGCACTTGTTAGGCTTACCTAGTCGTAGAGACTAGATGCCATCACGACAGTTCACGGAGGGCGAACTGGGGTCGTGACAGATACAACAAGGGTTAGAAGGGTTAATGAAGCTAGAAGCTCAAGCCAACCAACACCAAGTTCAGCAGATTCGTGCAGGCCTGCTAGAAGAGGATTAGGTAGTTAACTTCCTCCAAAGGGTAAAGCAACTACCGGCCAAAAGAGAGGAAGGGGTGCAAGTAAAGAAGATGCTGAAAAAGGAGCAGAAAAAAGGTCCAAAAATGTTGGATTTGGCATCTACACAGCTACAAGTGGAACTCAAATACTAAATGTATATATTCATACATATTTCATCTATAATATGACTTAGAAATAACTTACTGATTGTGGTTCATTATTTGGCAACTGCAGCCCGGAACATCAAGCCAACGAGTTATTGCAGGTGGTTTAACTTATAAGAGTGCAGCTCCAACAGGAATTGACCTTGGTTTTAAGGCTAGAGGCTTTAGGTGGAAGGGTCAAGATGCTGTCACAACTTCCCAGTTGCAGCAGATGAAGGCAAAATTCAGCAAGAAGTAGTATCTTAGGAACTTATTTTCTCTATATGTTATGTAGCAGCAACCTATTGTATTTTGGGATCTAGTTTTTGAAAGAACTAAACTTTAATGGTTGTATTCAGTTGTGTAATCTTACTGTTCTGTTTTGGATATATGTTATGTAGCAGCAACTTGAGCCTTATTTTGTTTTGGCAGAATAATTAGTCTATGTTCTGAATAATTAGTCTATATAGCAGCAACTTCAGTCTATATGTCCTGAATTTTGAAACTGCATCTTATGGTTTTATGCCTTGTACAGAAGTTGTATATTACAGCAGTTTCAAAATTCAGCAGCTGTATATCACAACGGTAGTTTCAAAATTCAGAAGTTTATAACAAAATTCAGTTGTACAGAAGTTTATAGCAACAACAGCTGAATATTACAACAGCAGTTTCAAAACAGAAGTTTATAGCAATAGCACCAACATTACATATTAATCAACAACACCTAAAACAACCAACAACACCTAAAACAACCAAAGTACATCAGTCCTGCAGTTTCCATAAAATGACCAACAATACAACAACAATCGTCAAAAGGATCCGTCTTCTTTTTGCTCGAACTTTCTCCTCTTCAAAAGCTTTGACTCTCTTTAATAAACCCCAAATTATTTTCTTCGCTTGAGTAGGCATCTCATCGTCATACCAACAGAAATAATCACATCCACCCTTTTTCTACAAATATCACAAAACACTTTTAATCAATTTTTACCAAAGAAAATAATTCATAAAACAAAATTTACAAATTATGAACAAACAATTTACCTATCCGATTTTGCAAGCAAAAAACCTATGACCCGGGTTTAATTGGGTCCAAGAAGTATTCAACTTTGGAGAAACACCACACTTACAGATTCGAGCGGCAGCGCAAGGTGACATTGACGAGTTCGTCGATTCCGATAAGTTCGACATTAATAAATATGGCAACAACAGAAACGAGAGGAAGAAGAGAAGAGAAGAAATTAATTGATACCAAGAAGAGACAGAAACGAGAGAAAGAAGAGAAGAGAAGAAAAGAATTGACAACAATAGAAGGAGAATTGCTGGAGAAATCTGAGAAAGAAGAGAAGAGAACAAATAGGTTTTTTAATAATTGGGAAAGGGATTAGGGTTTAAATAATAATTGACAATCGATGTTACCGTTATGTGTCTAATTGGGAAAGGAAAAATCACTTATTGGAATCCTTCACGCGCCTAAATAGGTTTGAAGTCACGCTATATGCCGCCTGCAGAAAACGTGTCTAATTGGTATGAGAATTGCCTAAGAAATGAGTTCAGATGAAAAGAGACCTAGTTTAAGTGTCTAAGTGAAAGATCGTGCCAACTTTAGGTGTCTCCGTATGTATTACTCCTGTCATAACTTAAGCATATTGTAAGCCTAGCCAAAAAATAATCAAGCGGCATATATGAAATGACCTCCTCTTCTTATTTGTTATTTTGCTAAGGATAAGTAGATATTACTGTGGCCTTAACTATTTTTCTCCTTGTATGCATCGAGAGTTAAAAGTTAATTAATCTAAGACAATTATCACCTTATTTTAAATAATAAAAAATCTTAGGAATTCAAAAATACATGTCAAATGTTACCAACACATTTTATTTTTGCTCGAAAGTTGGTTTTCATCAAACTTAAATTTGGGTGACCCTCACAAGCAAAGAGTAACATAAAAGATTTATTTGTGACGAGAACAACAACATTGAGAATTGATTGAATTTAAAAGCTTCCATTTGGATGTACGAATATTAAAGTAGAGGGTTATAAAATGATCTAAAAACTTCCCCACAAAATTGAACATACTTTGCTTTTACATATTTCCAATGCAATCAATAGCTTCACATTTGGCATTACAAACTAAAAGCTGCTTAATTTCTCATTTTTTATTATTCCCCGATATATAAAAGAAAATTCATCTCCAAATACCATATATGTGCTTTTCAGTCTCTTAGAAGGAAATTGCTTCTGGTTTAGTCAAATTGTTTATTTTCCTTCTAATTTAATTAAAGTGAATGACATTTTCCTTAACAAAATGAAGGTTCGGACAAAGGCAAACAATAAAAGTTCTGCAATCTAAAGCAGCAAGTCTGAAAAGAGTTAAAATATCATGGTATAGCCAGTTTTCACACTGGTCAATGAAAAATAGCCAGCGTTTACCAAGTCAATGAAAAATAGCCACTATTTTGCTGCAACAGGGACTGGTCCAGTATAATATACGGGAGTTCTGGTGCATTTGTGTACGAACTCCAGCATATTATGCTGGACCGGTATACTTTGCTAACTCCTGTAAAATTTGCGGGAGACTGGAGCACCAGTGCTCCAAACTCCAGTATATTATACTGGACAATTATACTTGTTGGAACTCCCGTAAAATTTGCAGGCGTATTTTTCCGGATTTTGAACAGTGTTTTCGCTCAGATTTAAAGTGGATACATTTCGATAACTTTTGAAACTTGGCTATTTTTCAACGACCAGTGGTAAATCTGGCTATTTTTGAATTTCTCCCCTGAAAAGATAATAAGAAATCTATAATTATTACTAAGGGGTCGTTTGTAATACATGGACTTATAATGTGGGATTGTAATGCAACAATTAATTTTTATCGGACGTTTGGTTTTTTTATACTAAATATGGGATATGATAAAATTTAAAATGATAACTTTTTGAACCTCATAAAATTAAGGGTGTTGATAATGGATTTCAGGGAGAGATTACAGGCAATTTTATCTTTTGGTGTTTAATCCATGTTAGAAATACTAAATTCTATACAAAAATACCTAGTATGACTAAATTACCCTTAATTAAATATTTAATTTGAGGACTAAGAATTTTTTTTAGGGATATGTATATAAGGGTAATTTTGTAAAAATAAATTGAATTCTTTCTTGATTATATAAACGGACACTTATTTTGGACCAAAATCAAAAAGCAAATTGGTCACTTATTGTGGACCGGAGGGAGTAGTATCTGTTTTTACCACACACAAAAAAAAAATTCAAATGTTGTTTATACACAGAACTTTAACTCACAAAAAAGACTGTCTCATAGAAACTTATACTCCTGTAGTACTATTCAATGTTTTACATATTGAGAAACACAAAAAATTTCTACACAAACATTAATTATTAACATAGTAACTATTTTTGTGTATAAAACTTCAAGTTAGAAAAAAATCATGATTGATGAGGGAGACTTACTGTAAGAACATTACTCTCCCATGTTATACCAAGTATAAAATAAAACACCAATTGGTGCATTAAATTATACCAAGCTTAGCTATACATGATTCAAAATACAAACCAGAGAAAAAAGCAATACCAAAATATATAACATGATCATTTCATCCCATCCCTCAAAGTCAAACTAAACGACTCCTAAAAGAATTCCAAACAAGGTTAAATTTTTTAGGTGTGCCATTTCATTTGTATAGGTACTACCAATCCATATATATATATATATATATATATATATATATATATATATATATATATATATATAGA